AAAAAATAATAATATTTTAATTGTTTTAAAAAAAATGGTTATGACACTCATGATATGATCATTTTAAATCTTATCATCGGCTAAATCTATTACTTGATAATTAGATCTACACGCATGTCAATCCATCAATTTTACGCTTGAAACCAACTACCCTATTACCTAGTGTCATGGACGTATATATCCGCACAGGTAAAATTGAAAACAAGAGATCAAGAATCACACATCTACTATTCATTGTCTTCTTCAATCCTCTGCTCTATTTTTTTTCCAGGCTATCACATCGACTGTGACTCTTCATCTGATCCATAAAAAAAAACAAATATCTAAAATAAAAATATTCTCACTCAAATCATTAACACTAAGATATAATTTCATCAATCTAGTTTCAAACATTAATAGTCCAATTGTCTCCAAAGTCCTCTAAATAGACATCCTAATGTAGGGTAAATTATATTTGTGCCCAAATTTTTGAAAAGATTATTATTTTTTTTATCTTTTATATCTACTACAATTTATGTTTAGGATTTATGATTATTCTTTTAATAAATATTGTCCTTAGAATTGAATTTAGATTCTCTCCTTGAACTGTAATGCGTCTTACCACCATAATCAACATTTGTCAATAAACTTAACCTAAAAGAATGAGAAAATAAATATGAGCAACTTGACAAACCGACTAAATATACTTACTCTCTTATATATTTTTTTCTATAACATCATAAATATTTTAATTATTTTAGTCAATTCTATAGACCTTTTAACAATAAAATTGTAATTCGTATAAATATTTATGCCTACAACTTTACTTGTAAAATTGTAAAATTAAAATAAATTACTTTATTATGAGAATCTCATATATTGTTTGCAATATTATTAACTTATAAAATAGTTAATTTAATATTTTCATGCCTGGATTGTTAAAGCATAATATTAAAAATAACCTTTAACAATTATCGATGTAATTTGATCGATATTTATTATTTTTTAAAGTATTTTAGTTCTTAATTTTTAATTTTGATCAAATTATTATTATTTAATTAAAAATCATTAATTAGTTAATGACCATATATATCAATGATAAAAGATTAAATTATATTAATTACAATATAAATAATTAAAATATTCTTATAATATTTTATAAAAATATATTAATTACAATACAAATTATATTGGATTAGGTCATATCAAAGACATATATAATAATAATAATAATAATAATAATAATAATAATAATTGGTTCTTTGGGCATACTCTAACATGGAGTTCATGTCTGACCTTACTAAAAATATCATCTCCAAAGTTCAAACTTAAATTCGCTTCTTAAAAGTACAATGTACCTATCTACAAGAAAAGAGCTTTCAAGAAGAATGGCCTCGTCGGATTTTGTTTCTTTGTTTGTGGATTATCTCCCAAACTCTATCCATTGGAAAGGTCTGTGGCAGATTCTGGGTCGATATGGCGAGGTATTGAGTGTGTTTATTCCAAAGAAAAGGAGTCGAGCAGGTACTAGGTTTGGTTTCGTTAAAGTCTGTAATATGGCAGAATCTGAAAAAGTAAGGGATCGTTTGAATGGTATTAGGGTGTTCAGCAATCGCATTTCAGTGAGTTTAGCAAAGCCCAGGCTGGTGGTTCCTAAAGTTAATATTCTTGAAAAACCTCAATGCACGGAGGCTGGTTTTATGGGAGTTTCTAGGAAGAAAGTATTGGCTCATGTTGATGAATTTGAAGTAAGCAAGTTGAGGAGATGTTTAGTGGGAGTTATGGCTGGCGTTTGTAGTGTTGGGAGCATCGTTGATAGATTACATAATTGGGCTTAGGTGAAATCAAAGTTCAAAGATTAGGTGGTAACTCTTTTCTCCTTTCCATTGATGATGATGAATTGTTTTCCATGCTAGAAGACCTTCATTGGTCTTATTTGAAGGATATTTTCGTGGAGCTTTTCCCTTGGTCTGAGTCATTTTGTCAACAAGAGAGAGTTGTATGGATTGAAATCGCTGGATTACATTTGCAGTGTTGGAATGCAATCACTTTAAAACGATTTGTAGGTTTGTGGGGGCAGATTTGAGGCTTTTGGAGAAAACGTTAATCATCAATTAGATTGTGAAAAGTTAGTTTGTTGATCTCTACTTCGTCAGCTCCTCGGATTGACGAAGCCGTTGATGTTGTGATGGAGAATAATATAGCTGTTGTTCGTGTGATTGAAGTAGGTATGAAAGACCAATCGTTAGTTCCTTCGTCCATTCATGCTGATCCTAAGAAAAAAGAACTTATGGATATGAAGAACAAAATAGAATTCATGTCTGTTAAAGAGGGTGCTCCACCGACAAAGAGTTCTGTCGATATTTCGGGGGATTCTTTAGTGTCGGTTAGTTTAGTCGACAAGATCGGGACTCCCATTTCCACTGGTGGTGCTTTTGATGAAGAGCGCACTAGTGTCAGTCTTGCAGACTGTTTAAAGGATGCTGTCGTGAAGCAGTCTTTGGAGGGTAGTGGAGTGGTAAAAGATTTAGAGTGTGTTGTTTTTCAAACTCCAACTCATTCCACTCACGTGGGGCTTCATAAAGTGGATGAGGATGGGGACAGTTTCAAGGGTGAAGGATTTAATATTGGTAAGTTTATTTTTGAAGTGGCTTCTAGGAAGGAGGCGAGTGGTATGGTTATTGGGGCTGTTGAAGATTCTTTGGAAAGTGGTCTTCCACGAGGGATGGGCTCTTTGGTTGAGGAGTTAGTGGATGTTAACAAAGACTTTCCTTTGGTAGCTGGAGAGAGGCATGAGCGTGAGGTATCCTTTGTGGGTCCTTTGTCTTCAAGTGATAAAGTAATTCCAATTTCTAGGATGATAGGAAACTCCTAGCTTATTGGGCGTGATGGCGAGGAATTGTTGGATGTGCCGATTAAGTCCTCTAGACAATCTTTTAGGATTAAGAAATTCGGCTCAATGCTGGATATTCAGGGCAAAGTTCTCCCAAAAACTGAGAGGAGAAGAAGAGATAGAGCGCTGAAGAAATTTAATTTGGAACAATCGGATCTTTTTTCGGAATTATCAGATTCATCAATTTCAGATTATGTTTTAAAGAAAACATGGGCCAAAGCTTTTGTTAAAGCGCATGAGGTGGCGTCTCTAAATAAGCAATTAGGATTTTTGTAGGAGTTGTGTCGTTAGAAGGGTGTTGGGGTTTTTTTTATTATCTTAGGGTTACTTCAGGGTTTTGGTTACTGTTCTAAAGGTTGTTGTTATTGATGTTTTGGAGTCAGGTATCCTTTGTTTTTGCTCTATTCAGTGCTTGATTGTTCGGTGAGTAGTTGATGAAGGTGGCCGATTTTATTTAGGGTGGTTTTTCTTTGTCCTTGGTTGTTGTGGCCTGAATGTTGTATTATTGTGTGGTTTATTAAAGTCATCTACTGGTATGGTTGTTTGAATGGTGGATTTATGGTCGGTTTTTCACCCCGTTTCTAAGTGTTTTGGAGGCTTTCGTACAATATTCAGTTGGGTTCCCTTTGATTTTAAGAGGTAATGGGTCCTATGTTTGTTCTTCTTCGCTCGCTCAGGAGTTTGTTGGATTCGTATTGGAATTTTAGTGGATGTTTCGTGATCAGTGAAGTTAACCTGTTATCCGCGTTTTCAGATTGAAGTACGAGGGTTCCTTCTTATATGATGCTCTTGTTGAGTTTCGTTTTGGATTCTTTTGCGCAGGGGGTTATGTGATTAGTAGTATTGCTGCTCTTCCTCTTTCGTTCTCTTTTCTCGGAAAATTTGTATGATTGACGTATTGGTTTGCCTCTTGTTTGTTGTATTTGTGCGTTCAGGCTTTATGTCTGTTTCCACCTCATGGTATACTCTTTTTCCTCCAATAGATTTAGGGAGGTTTTTAATAAGGGTCATGAGGTGGTGTACCTTGTATTCCCTTCAATACAAAGTACTCATCTTTCAAAAAATATATATATAACAATAATTCTTCCCGAGATGGATCAATGTCCTATAAAAAGTATCAAATATTTGGAATAACAAGTTTGATAATCATCTAACTTTGAATCCACATCAATAATAAATATAATATTTAAATTCGAATACTATCTATAGCTTAAGGTATTTTTTTATGTCCCAATTGTAATAAGAATTGTTATTTTGATCACAGCCGGCACAACATTTTGGCATGCATTCTATTAAATTTTAGAAAATCAATGAATTAAGGAAATTATCATCCAAGTACAATTTCCATTAAGCAAGAATAGGCTTAGACATTATTCATAACAATTGGTTCCACCACAAGAAGATATGTAAAATAGCTTTGGACCGCACCATGTACCAGAAAATCTTGAAGCTAATTACAATATATAATATATAATAAAAGTTTATAATTTTAGTTTTAAATTCCAAATCAAATTAGAATATATAAATTTCACATGAGAAGTATGATATTTATACACCATGACGGACATTCATACATGGGGGGCATAAAATCCAACAGAATAAAAAGGAGCCCAAAAAACAGGGAAAAGGTAAAGAAGTGAGAAAAAAGAAATGTATTTTGAGGGGTAATCTTTCTCCTTCAGCTATGGGTCGTAATAGTAAGATAGGTGAAAAAAATTATTGAGGTACAACTACTTACAAGAGATGGATGTGATATTTTATATTAGGAGAAGAGTTTATAATATTTTAAGTAAGATAAAATTATAAAAGCTTAGGGAGATGAAAATATATTATCATTAGAAAATAAAAAAAAATATCTAAAATAAATGAGAATTTGAAATTTTTAGAGATGACCGTCATCGATCCATTGCTGCTTACAGCACTAACCCTTCTAAAGAGACCAACGGTAAGGGTTACAATTAGGGTTTTCTCATAAATGGCTTTAGGGTTTATTGTCCCAATCAATTTCAATTTTATTTACTTTTTTCAGTAATTATTCAAGATATCTAAGAGTTTTGGTCTTAAACCATCATCATCATCATGGCAATGGAGGAGTTTGCATGTATATATCGAAGTAAAAAAGAATTACCGTAAAAAGCTCTCAGTTAGAGCTAAGGAGGACAGGCTGCTGCTTCGATGATGAATTAGCCTCGTCCTTCACGTTGGGTTTAATTTGAATCTTCTTCTTCTTCTTCTTCTTCTTGTATAGAATCCCTCTGGCCTTAGCTTGACACTCCTTCACTTCACGCAAGAAAACCCGAATCGCTCCGTTTCCGAACGGGTTATTCTCCTGTGACCCGCCGTGTTCTTCGTAAGCAGCTCTTAGTCGTCCGATGAGCGCATCGAGGCTGCCCCAAGCTTGCCTTAGTGGACAAGTACAAGGAGCAGGCGGGTCAGGTTGTCCGAAAAAGGCACATCCATGTAAGTGAACCTTAGTCTTCCCGAACTGATCGAGATATCGAAGAAAATCGAGAACGTGGTTGCAGTTGCACTGTGATATCGCAACCGGTGGCCTCTGGTTCTTCAAATACTGCCCGAAAGTGTTCCAGTCTCGGCGTTTCTGCGACTCGTACCTGCTCAAAGGAGCAACCGGCTTATCGAGATGCTGTTGATGGTGGTCGAATTGGTTGTTTCCGGTGGATCGCGACGACCCTTTACCGGAATCTTTGGCTATATCACCTGACATGATTAAACAGAACCGATCTTTGTTTCCAAATCAACACTTTGGGTAGTTTTGCCAATAAATGATGAAGGAAAAAGGAGAGAATAGTGCAGTGGTGAGAAAGATGAAAATCTCTCCTTTGGGGTCTAACTGAGGAGACATGGTATGGGCCCTCTATGAAGATGCTTTTGTTCCTTTTTTCTCCATTTCCTCCTTTTCTCCATTGACACTAACATATAGTTTATTTAATTCATTGTTTTCAATATATAATCACAATTATTGTATGTTGTCTAATTCATAGTGCCATCATTTTCATTTGAATTATCTTCACTATCACAAGGATAAACTACATAAATAGTCATTGCAATATTAATAAGTTTATGTTTTCCTCACTAATGTTTTAAAAGTAACGAAATAATCATTAATGTTATGAAAAATAACAAAACGTTTCCTCGGTCGTTGAGATCCGTCAAGTGACTAACGATAGTCTAAGGCGGTGGATGATGTGCCTCAGTGGTTGGGCATGGACATGGTTACCTCTTACAAGAGGTCCCATGATTGATTCTCCTCCTTTGCATATGAGGTTTTTCATATTTTCAGATTATTCACACCGACAAGTCGATATTATGTGTCATTATGCTGTTGGTAGAAATCGATTCACTTAAAAAGCCACACGAGACTATTGTTAGTCACTTGATAAGATTTAATGTCAAATGTTCGTAATATTATTGATTATTTTGTTACTTTTGAAATATTAGCGGAGAGAACAAAAAACTTGCTAATATTTCGATGCCCAATTATATAGTTTACTCATTCATATATAATTACGATAATACAGTGTTTGTCGTCGTTTCGTGGGTGCAAGAAACTTTAACCACCCGTTTAATTTAACCTGTTTTACGAAAGGTGAAAAAACATAAAAAAATTAATGGCAGTTGGATCAAATTAGCTATTCACGAAAGAGAGAATTACATGGTTTTCTGCTAAAAAATTATTAGGGTTATGATTAATCCATGGGCACTAGAATTAAAGTAACAATGAGTGATAATAGAGCAGTATAATTAAGTGGTATTGGTGAAAATTGATGGTTTCTTGATTTATTCATGAATAAATCTTTGGGTGGATTTCTTTTACAAGTTGATCATGTTTTTGTCCTCATGTGTAACTTTTGCTTTTTGGAAATTTATTCGATTAAACAGTAAAACTATGAATATAAATTTTATAGGGTAAAATTATGGAAAATATTAAAAAAAAGGCAAAATTATGGCAAAATATTTAAAAAAAAAAGGGTAAAATTATGGAAAAATATTAAAAAAAATGGAAGATGAGGATGATTTAAAATGTAAGAAAATAATATCACTATTACAGTAGAGATCAAAATTATCATTTCTCATCGATAATATTACAGAAGTCGTCATGTCCTACAGATGATTTCAAAATTTATATTCAAGTACGATTAACATTTAGAAACATATTTAATAAAAATGAAATAGGAAAATTATACAGCGTTCGACGAGCAGCGATGAGTACCACTAACGACGAGCACTATTAATTTAATTTATAAAAATTTAAATTATAAAGGAAAAAATGAATAATTATAAATTAATTTAAAATTTAAAGATAAATTATTTAAAATAAAGGCTAAAATCTAAAAGTGACTACCTAACTATTGTCCTTTTTCATTTTGACCAATATTTTTGAAATTTTATCAATCAAGTAACTCAACTATTTAAATGCATTCAATTAAGCCGTTTGTCGTTAATGTCTAACGGAAAAGCTGATGTGACAGTTAAAATATTTGGTATAATTACACATTTTGTCACTGTTACTTATATATTCTATTAATTTGGTCTTAATTTTAATAAATTAAAATAAACTTAACCCTTAAATCTTTAATTTTAAAAGATTTTAAAAGTTATGACATATTCTATATTTATAACAAAACAAATTTTTTACTAGAAATTTCATTTATGGTTCTCAGAAGCATCCCGTCAATGGTACCATAACCTCTTTTGGTTTTAAGGAAAATATAGTTGATCAGCCCATGCATATAAAGTTTGTTGGACAAAATTGTTATCCTACTACTATTTGTAAATGGCATTCTACTAGAAAAAGGTGATATAATCTAACTTGTAAAACTAAGAAATTTTTATCTAGTAAATTTCTAATAGAAAAAAAGGCGACATATATTTATTTCACATTTGACATAGTCTTCCTTTAAAATTTTAAAAATTCATCTCTTACCATAAAATTTTATGTCCATTTTTAATAAAGTTTATACTGATAAGATTCTTGGTAGACTTAGCATGAAAAATTTTGTACTAAGAGATTGATCTATATCAAAAGGGCAATAAATTTAGTTTGCTTTAAATTTAATATAATAAATTATTGCTTGAATTATTCAATTTTTTTAGAAATGTTTTGTTATAAATTTGGGTTTGTTATAAATATAGAATATGTCGTAACTTTTAAAATTAAAATAAATTAAAATAAAAGGTTGAATTTTGGGTCAGTATACATGGCGCCATTTGATTTGAGGGTTAAATTTATTTTAATTTATTAAAATTAGGAACAAATTGATAGAATATATAAGTAACAATGACCAAATGTGTAATTATATCAAATATTTTAATTGCCTCATCAACTTCTCTGTTAAATATTAACGGCAAATTGCTTAATTGAATGCATTTAAATAGTTGAGTGACCTGATTGACAAAAATTTAAAAATATTGGTCAAAATGAAAAGGGGCAATAGTTAGGTGGTCATTGATATAATTTACCCTTTATTTTAAATAATTTATCTTTAAAATTTTAACTAATTTATAGTTATACGTGGAGTCTTTTATAATTTAATTTTTATAAATTAAATTAATGGTGCTCGTCGTTAGTAACGTTTATCACTGCTCGTCGAGCGTAGAATAATCATCCGTTTTAGTATCTTTTTGCACAGTTTTATTAAAGCATATCTATACTAAATTTTAAAGCCATCATACTATTTTATTAATATGTACAAATATTATATACTCATAATATACCAAATAGGAATTTCTATATTTTTTTAATGGTATGAATTGATTATAAAGTAGTATTTGTTTATATATTTTTTGAAATAGAAACAACTAATTTTATTAAAAAGAATAAAAAATATCTAAAATTACAATAAAAGTTTATGACAAAAATCATAAACTAAACACATATAATTGAGATATTCTCCTAAAATCATTAAGAAACTAACCACCAAAATCATATCAGAACCACACAAGGAAAATGTAAAAAGTCGAATAACATGTAAATACAAACATATCTGACTGTTATGGAAAACGAACTATAACATGGGATTTAAACTACTGAAATATTACCGACAAAATGCAAATCAAAGCCAAGCTTTGTCAGATAACTATCTACAATCACATGTTACGTATCCAAATCCAATTCGAGTGTCCAAAATAGGGAACATCAACGGGATAACGAATGAATATCATTTTGATCAGTTATGATGATGACAAATCAAACCCTAAGTAAAATAAAGGACAAAAGATGGAAAAAAAATAAAAATTATGTCAAAAGATTGAGAAAAATTGTGATATAAAGTATAAATTTGTGTCATAAAGACAGAGTTATTAGAAACAAAAAAGATGCGAATAAAAAATATATATAGACGACAACCAACATCGAAACTAGTGTCGTCTACTAATAAAAAAAAACCAACGCTAGGTAAAGAAAATGAGAAAGTTATTTTCATAATTGTTTTAATCTATCGACAACATACCCTATAAATATAACTGTTTAAAATTAAAATATCCAATAATAATAATATTTTAAACAGTAAACGCGCTTGTGATCATTGGTTTTCTTAGCCTAAGACCTACCATCAGACCACAACTTTTTGCATGTAGAGTAGTTCACGTTAAAATTTGTATCTACCCTATTCTCTATACTTCGGATCCCACAAATAGCAACCCTAAAATTAGGGGATGAAATGCTATCTTGGAAATTTGAAAGTAAGCAAGGTAGTTTTTTTTAAACAGTTTGATGAGGACTTCCACTGATATATAATTTTTTTATAAAGGGTAAATGATTTATATAGACTTCTGTAGGTAAATTTAGGGGGATATTGTGACTTTAAAAAAATAGGGAGACCGGGGTTGGAGAGATTATTAATTTGGGGGAATAAATATATTTTTTCAGAGTAAATATATTATTTATTAGAAAAAATTCATATACAGTAGATATACAACTATCCTCAAAGGAATTCATATAATGGTTTAAATATGTTTTTTAAAATATATAATCATTAAATGATTGAAGACAAGAATCATACATGTGTGTCTTATAGTTGCTTGGCTTGTGCTTGTTCTAACATGTATCATGCACTTTTTTTCTTCTCTTTAGACAAAAATGTGATTTTTCACTTGGTCCTTATTATTTTCATTCTCCTTCAATTCCATCCTCTGCCACCAAATTTACGTCCACATGTCGATGACTCTAGCAAAACCGTCAACAATTGTGATATAACATTTTAAATCCGATCCGCTATAAATGATGGACCTACGATATCATATTAGGCCATCGAAGAGACCATTAAATTTAAGGTAAAGATATAAATGGTCTCTTAATTATGGGATATTATTGACGATTCCACAAACATCATAAATACAAATCGCATCATTAAACGTGGTCAAATCTGAACATTAATACCGTCCTCTCATATATGAGACTACTTGAGATAACACAAATCCTCAGTAAGTCGATTTATGCCAAAACATTTTAAGACCTTCGCCACTTTCGAAAGTTTTATATACAGTAAGTTGCTTTGTGGAGATGGTTTGTATTTGGAGTAAGACAATAATAATGCTTCATTCGTTGTTCATCCATGGGGAAACGAAAATCGAAGACAGTGGACAAATGAAATCAAGGATATGAATCGTTTTTGACGCAAAATGGAGAGACATAGATGGGTGAAGTGGGTCCGAAACCCCTCAGTACTATATGCTAGTGAAATAATTATGTATCATCATGCTGTTGCGAATTTGACACTACCTTTATAATATTGTACCACTTAATTTTGTCATTTTACACTCACCCATTTCACTATTTCCCCCTCTTTTCACGACAGCTTTTTTTTTTATCTTGCAGTTCAATGCAAGAATAAATGGTAATAAAACACCAAAAATGGACATTTTCTGCATACCATTGATTGAAATGGCAAAAATGGGTTGATATGTATATATTGTTTGTGTTTT